GGTGTGGGGGGCAGGCTCCGAAATGCCCCACCATAGCTACAGGCCTGGGCCCTACTGCTTGCTTCCCTCCATCCATCGTGAGAACTGGCCACTTATTCCTACTCTTTGCTTCCTGTCGGTTAAGCATATCCTCCTGTAAAGTAAGTGCACTATATTGAGGCCTGTTTTCTGGAGCAGCAGTAAACAAGGTCTCGCCTGTTGGTCTATCTTTGTTTCCTTAACAGCTTCCCTGTTTGGCATGTGAAGCTACTAAATCAGATTAATTTAATGATTGAAATATGTGTATTTTAATAATTCCTGGAAAATGTTTTTGGAAGAACGAAGTGTATCATTGCAGGCAGATGATTAGTATGGATTTTAGGAAGCATTGTCTTTGGGGGGGGAAATGTTAGTATAAAATCGGGGTATTACTTGAATGCATTTGTATTATATCTAATTAGGATGCACAGATTGTTTCTTGTCCCTTTCCCCCTCAGTGATATGAGAAGCAGTCATTTAGCTGCTGCTAATCCCTAGGACTCATTTAGCTGAAGAAGACCCTTTATCTTGTCATTACCTGAGGTGTGTGAAATGAGCTGATCATCCCAAATCCTGGCAGACCTAGAAGCAAAATTAGGCATCGTATCCATGGTAATGCAGTGAGCAGTTTTTAAAGTAGCCATTTAATCCATTGATATAAAATCAACCTGCCAGTGGAGTCCAAGCAACCTTTTTATTGTTGGACAGATTGTACTTTAAAATTGATATGCTGTGTATCAATTTAAAATTGATATGCTGGTAAAAAGAATAAGATGTTTTATTTGTGAACATTCTTGGTGCTGATAGAATAAATATTGGCTGCTGTGTTCTATAACTCTGTGTCAAGATTATTTTGGTGTGGAAGTTAAAATTGTAATGCTTCTCTTTTGTTCTCATTGGTAATCTTTGTGTTTTCTTATGACATAAAATCCAGCATATTGTACAGTTCTGCAGTTGAAGTGTGTGTGTGTGTGTGTGATATTTCCATTATCCTGGTCAGTTGCTGAATTAATATAGCAGTGAGCTCTTAGCTCACATTTCCCTTCATTATGCTGTAAAATCATTCAGTCATAATCTTGAGTGAATTAAGGTGGTGATGTCACCCACTGAGGTTAGTACATGTGAATGCATTGATGTATTGCATGATATTTGCAGTATGTCACTGCCTAGCTTACCCCCTTCCACACTGGAGGAGAGAGTGAACTATAGTCCCACTGATCTCAGAATGTTGGTATGCATGGGCACCATCTGGCCACATCAGCACCTAAGCTATTCACCTGAACCTTCCCCTGCTGATGTCCCATTTCTGCGTCTATGGCTAGGCATGGAAGATTTTTTTTTATTTAAAAAACCCTTAAGAATGCAAAATAAGGATGGCAGTGGTTTCTTCCACTGTATAATGGCAAGATGAGCAGCTGTTAGTTATTAGTAGTGTACAAAAATTGTTTTCATTTGGTATTTCAGAAATGAAATGGCATGATTACCATTGGCATGGTTACCATTATCTCAAATTGGGAGTATTAATGTTATCTAAGGGATCTATTTCACGTAATTGGGGGCGGGGAGCTTGGAAATATCAATTATCAGCAGACCTGGACTTTTCTCTGGAACCCAAGTATGCAACCACTGTTTGCAGTGGGTGATAGACCTGGTATGCAGACTCCAGAAGTTAGGTCTACTCTCGCTGTTTTCAGTGGATGGTAGACCTGCGCTCATTGAGGACAGTGGTAGTAGACTTGGGCTCCAGACAGTGTTACCTCTAAGCTGAGTCAGTGTGAGCCAGCTCACAGTTTCTTAGCCTCTGGCTCACACATTTTTGTCTTAGCTCAGGACGGGATGGCTCAAGAGCACACTAATTTATACAGTAGCCAAATTGCTCGCTCACAACTTTAATGCCAGTAGCTCACAAAGTAGAATTTTTGCTCACAAGACTCCACAGCTTAGAGGGAACATTGGCTCCAGATGGAGGCTAGGTCTACCTGTACCCGATGTTCTCCAAACCTCCCCCCAGTTACCCCAAATGATATGAATGTTAGCAAAAGATAATAATCTCCTTCATGAAACACAAAAAAGAAATCCAAACAAAATATTTTGAAGTGTGCATCCCCTAATAGCAGCTGTGCTTCTTTTATCACTGGAAGAAACCAGAACTTCCACCTCAGCTTGACTGGATTGAGAAAGTTTGAGATCTTATAAATTCTCAGGACTCAACAAGGGAGGCAAAAAGAGAATAATTTTATGGAGGAATGGTAGACTTTAATTGTCCTTTTTTTTGGGGGGGGGAAGCCTTTAAATTGGGAAAAACCAAACAAATATAAAATAATGTGTCTATAATGACATTACAGTACTTTTTATTTTCCTAGTGATATGAACGAGCAATGTTATGGGGTGGGTGGGGTAAGAAGTAGAATGGATGTAGGTTTCTTTGTTCTTTTTATTCATTGTCAAATGAAAAATGAAAAGGTAAAAAGAGAGATGCTTGAGTTGAAACAGATTTGTTTGCAAGATAATTTTGTGTGTGTGAATCTCTGCAATTCACAAAACAAGTTATTTTGGATATTTTTCTTGTTATTTCACTAAAATGAGCAATTTTTGAAATGGAAAAAAAAAGAATGTGAAGGAGGAATTTGGGATAGATTGAAGTTGTTTTGGCCAAGAATCAAGATATAAATCTCGGAAGCACAAAAAGTAAGGATAGTTCTATCATCCCCTGACCTGGACAGCCCAGGCTAACCCAAGCACGGAAGCTAAGCAGGGCTGGCCCTGACTAGTAAATGAATGAGAGACCTCCATGGAATACTGGGGTCATGATGCAGAGGTAGGCAATAGGAAACCACCTCTGAACATCTCTTGCCTTGAAATCCCTGTGGGGTTGCCATAAGTCATCTGTTACTTGACGACACTTTCCACCACCAATCCTATTTTAAAATTGCATATAGTAGCAATATTGTATTGTTATGACTGCAAGGACCCTTAACACTTGTCAGTAGGAAAAGGAAGGAAAATGAAAGGCAGGTGTACTGAAAACTATGTAACAGATATAATGCAGTTTGTTCGAGAGATGTTTCTTTTCCTGTTGGCAGCTATTATATGCGTCTGTGGGTCTGTGCATACATAAAAACACATTGAGAAGGAAAACACAACATTGACTCCACAGCTAGTCTGCCCTGTTTTCCACTTGTCAGCTGCTTGTTGTAAGTGGAAGCATGCATTATTTAGGTAGTTATTTATCTGATAAAGTCTGTCCTTAGTTATAACTCTTTTTGTTGTTGTTCAGTCGCACAGTCCAGTCCGACTCTTCGCAACCCTGTGGACCACATAATGCCAGGCCCTTCTATCGTCTGTCATCCTCTGGAGCTTGCTTAATTTCATGTTCGTTGTATCAGTGACACTGTCTAACCATCTCATCCTTTGCCGTCCCCTTCTTCTTTGACCTTCAGTCTTTCCCAGCATCAGGGTCTTCTCCAGTGAGTGCTCCCTTCTCATTTGGTGGCCAAAGTATCTCTGAGCTTCAGCTTCAGTATGTGGCCTTCCAGGGAACAGTCAGGGTTGATTTCTTTTAGGATTGACTGATTTGATCTCCTTGCAGTCCAAGGGACTCTTGAGTCTACTCCAGCACCATAATTTGAAAGCATCTATTCTTCGGCGCTCTGCCTTCCTTATGGTCCAACTCTCGCAGCCATATATTACTACTGGGAATACCATTGCTTTGACCATATGGACTTTTGTTGCCAGGGTGATGTCTCTACATTTTATTATGCTGTCTAGGTTTGCCATAGCTTGCCTCCCAAGGAGCAGGCATCTTTTAATTTCATGGCTGCAGTCACTGTCTGCAGTGATCTGGGATCCCAGGAATGTGAAGTCTGTCACTGCTTCCATGACTTCCCCTTCTATTTGCCAAGAAGTGGTGGATCCAGATACCATGATCTTAGCTTTTTTGATGTTGAGTTTCAAGCCAACTTTTGTGCTCTCCTCTTTTACTTTCAGCAAGAGGCTCTTTAGGTCCTCTTCACTTTCTGCCATTAGAGTGGTATTGTCTGCATATCTGAGGTTGTTGTTTTTCCAACAGCAACCTTAAGTCTGGCTTGTGATTCATCCAGGCTGGCATTTCGCATGATGTATTCTGCATATAAATTAAATAAGCAAGGTGACAATATACATCCTTGTTGTACTCCTTTTCCTATGCTAAACCAATCAGTTGTTCCATATCCGGTTCTATCTTGTAACACACTACAGATGTCTTTGCAAGTCTTCTTAAAACTGCCCAGTTTCATCTAAGTAAATCTTGTCTTTTGGGGACTTCTGAACATTGATCTCATCATCACAGATAACCTGTTCTTTGAAGGTATCTTCTGATGGTGAACAAACATAGAGCAAAGCCTCCATGGAAGATTTCAGGTGGTGTAGTAATTAAATATTATGTGGGAATGTCTGAAACCTTTGTTTGGCTCACTGCCATATAGTCCATTTAAAAGGGCATTCTGGGTGAGATTAGGTATGTCCTGAACAATGTTCCCTCTAAGGTGAGTTAGTGTGAGCTAGCGCACAGTTTTTTAGCCTCCGGCTCACACATTTTTGTCTTAGCTCAGGAAGGATGGCTCCAGAGCAAACTAATTTATGCAGGAGCCAAATCGTTCGCTCACAACTTTAATGCCAGTAGCTCACAAAGTAGAATTTTTGCTCACAAGACTCCACAGCTTACAGGGAACATTGGTCCTGAAGGCCTAAATCAAACTACTGAATCTTGATTTCACTACTGCATATTGTATATTTCCCAGTTGGCAATTCATGGTGCTTTTAAACTATCCAAAAGTGATAGTTTGGAGCTAAAAGTAAAGTTAGTAAATGCGGTTAGATTGAAGATACTATAGTGGAATTATTAATTTAACCTCGTACTTTTGATGAAACTGCATATATTATGTACTTAATTTGCAAAGGTAAGCTGGTTTAGTTTCTGATAGTCTTTTCCCCTTGTTTCCTAGGATAAGAAAGATAAAGTTTCGAGGTTTGATACGATTCGGCACTCCATTGCTGGAATGATAAGATCTCCAAAATCTATGTTAGGCACTTCATCGGTAAGTATATACTGATATTGCATTCTTCTGTATTTTCTAAGGTAAATCCATTATAATTTGGGTACAACTTCTTGGCATCTGCAATAAGATTATTAGAGGAGGTAATGCTTGCAATGGTAAGGTACCCAGAACACTCTGATTTGGATCCGAAAGCTTCTAATTTTTTTTAAAAAATTGCAATATTCCTGTTTTGAGTTTAAAGGTTCTTAATTAACTACTTACATTTTCCATCTTGGCTTTCAAGTGAGGAAATTATCCTGCAGTGATAAGTAATCATCATATTCTCATTTGTCTCTGTCAGTTCCACAATCTGGTACATCAGAAATGACATTTAACGGATGGTGACAATTCAGTAGAGAATGGTCATGCAGAGACTTGTGTATAGAACAAAGCAAATTGCTTGTTATGTGTCTGTGGGCAGCACTGAGGAGTTCTCTCTTGAGAGTTTCACTGTTGTGTTGATAGAATTATTCTATCCCTGATCTTGCACTGTAGGCATTGGAAGGCATAAGTATATATATCAGCTCTTTCAGCACTTATTGATCCTATTTGGAAATAAGAAATACAGCTTCAAAATGCAGCAGAAATTCTAGGTAGTATACCCACAGAGTAGAATCCCTGTGATTTGCCATTTGTAAATGTTTATACTGCAGAACAGGAAGAATTTAAATATGCGCACATAACTGAGTATGTGATTGGCCCAAGGACACTCAGTAAGCTTAAACAGCAAAGTGAGGAGTCAAACCTGGATCTCTCAGATCCTGGTCTGACACTCAAACCGCTCCATCAGTGGAACATTGTTGAGTGTGTCTGGCTCTGTATGTGTATGGCTGTGTCTCTTCCACCCTCTTGTCTCATGCTTTTGCAGTCTCTCACTCTGTATTATTTCTCGTCCTGCTGCAGCCTGCTCTTGGTCAGCTGCCACTGTACAGCATTGCTTACTAAGGTTGCTAGGGATGCCAGCTTCCAGGTGGGATCTGGGGATCCCCCAGAATTACACCTGATCTCCAGACCACAGAGATCAATTCCTCTGAAGAAAATTGATGCTTTAGAGGGTGGTCTTGATGGCATTGTACCCTGATGAAGTCCCTGTCCTCCCCAGGCTCCATCCCCAGATCTCTAGGAGTTTCCCAACCTGAAACTGGCAACCCTAAAGGTTGCTGCAATCTCTTATGGTTGCCTAGCAAAGGCCACTGAGGGTATCTGCTTGGTAAAGCTACACACACTCCTATTATCATTTTGAGAGGTTTAAGCCCTCCCCTCATTTATTTTTTTAAAGATTTCAGATTTTCTGCAAACCTGGAGCTTTTCTCAGGTTTGTAGGAAGATTAGTCTTGTTTGTCCAAGGCTCCAGTTTCCATATTTAAGTATTCACAGATGGGGTCACATTGAGAATTAGATATATTGATACATAGATTTAATCATGAGAGTAGCTCTGTGCATGTCTTTCCCCGCCATTGTTGAAACATAGCCAGCCCTTATATATGTGGAGTGAAGAGGAAGGGCTTCTCTCTCTGTCTTTTTGCTCCATGCTCAGCATGAAGCACAGCAGGTCAGATGAGACAGTAAGATTGTCAAGGTGTCAGGAGGAGAACCAGCTGTCTGTGGAGAAAGAGAAGTAAAACCATCACCATCCCACTTGTGGCCACCTCGTTCTTTTCCTGGGCAGTTGCCAAGATGGTTTTACTCTTTCTGTAGTCAGCTTTCCTGGCAGCTGCCCAAGTGCTGATAGAGCACATAGGCTACAAAGAAGGGTGTGTGAGGTGCTGGAGAGGATGGGCAATTTGCTGTTATATCCCTGGTATAAGGCACACAGTACATGGAGGGTCATACCTTACCTGTCTTCCAGATCCACTAATGGTGGGTGTTTCAAGTTATGAACCACCTGCCAACCACTATCTCTTCTGGGCAAGTAGGTGATGTGAAAGACCTTTGCCTGAGACCCTGGAATACTGCTGCCAGTATGAGCAGACAATACTGACCTTGATGGACTAATGGTCTGATTCTGTATAACCCAGTTTGCATGTGTTCACTGGCCTTGCTTACATTCCTGGATTACATGGTGGATGCTATATTGGAGAACAGTGCTCATAAGAGCCACAGGTGGCAATGTCACAAAGAGGTGTGTGGCTCCTGAGCCACTGAATGAGTGTCACTGGTCTAGAGAGAAGGAAATTTAGCAAAATATTTCTAACTTTGTCACTTGGGATAGCATAGAAAAAGGAAAAGAATTTTAAGCTCTTCCTGTCATGAGAGAGAAAGAAATTTCATATTTGCATGTTCATCAACAGGTGTTTAGGAACAGGGAAGGCTGCCTGTAAACCAATATAGAGTTTGTTGTATACCTAAATAATGTTATTTGAAGGCAGTATCTAAATAAACAAATGCTGTCCTTTGAATTTAAGACAATAAGCTGTAAATGACAGTGCCACCTGTCCATCTATGAGCAAAGCTGGGTCCAGGAGTGTCCCAAAAACTGCAGGTCTTCAGAGGGTGTGTAACCTCAAACAGGCCATCACTGCTTTAGACAAACCAATGGCACCTTAGGATCTGACAAAATGAAAAGTTGAGCTGGGTATTATCAGCATGTTGATAATGCCACAACCCAAAGTTCCTGACAGTCTCTCCCAGTGGTTTCAGGCTGATGTTAAAAAGCACGGAGGATAAGATGGAATTTTGTGGGATTCCAAAGGCCACGAGGAAGAACAGCCATTCTCTAGAACCACCTTCTGAACCCTGTCCTTCAAGAATGAACAGTATTTTCCAACCTAATCCCAGAAAGGTGGCCCAAAGGGATACCAGGATACTAAGGTCATTCATATCAAACATTACTGAAGTCCAGAAGAATCATCAGGGATGCACTCCATTGTGCACCTCCTGGCACAGGCTGTCTACTTAAGGGACCAAGGCCATAGAATGTTGATTGGATCATAGGGAACATATCACTCCAGTCTCATTCCACCTATATTGGGTTGCAGCTTGCCTTTGGACCCAATTCAGGGTGCTAGTACTAATTTTTAAAGCTATATATGGCTTGGGGCCTGCCTTAAGGACTCTGTATTCCCATATGAATCTACCCAACCCCTCCAGTCATTTCCAGCGGCCCTGCTTCAGGTAGTAGAAGAAGAGATTTATACTCCGCCCTTCACTACCCAAAGGTGTCTCAGAGTGGCTTACAAACTCCTTTCCCTTCCCCTCCCCACAACAGGCACCCTGTGAGGTAGGTGGGGCTGACAGAACTCTGACAGAAACTGCTCTTTTTCAAGAACAGCTGTGCCAGAATTATGGCTTGCCCAAGGTCATCCAGCAGGTGCAAGAGGAGGAGTGGGGAATCAAACCCGGTTCTCCCAGATTAGAATGCGCACACTTAACCACTACACCAAACTGGCTCTCTATCACCTGAGGCTTCCATCACCTGAGGCTAGACAGGTGGCAGTCTGAGAAAGGGCCTTATCTGTTGTGTAATGGAAACTTTGGAACTGCTTCTACAGGTAGACTAGTCTGTCTCCCTCTTTTGGTGTCATCTGCCAGGTGGTGAAGAATTTTTGTTTTGCTTGATGTTCCCTCATTAACTGTCATTGGCCTGGTTCCCTATTTGTATGTGTCTGTGTTCATATTTTATTTGTCTTAAATATTTTATATATTTTATCTGTATGTTAATTGTTTTGATTTCTTGCCACTTTGGGGACCTGAGTTGGGTGGAAAGGCCATACAGATGTTTTGTATAAATAAATTTCAGTACCAAATCCAGGTCAGGAGCCACATTGATAAGTGTTCAAATAGTCTGTTTCATCCAAATATCGAGGTGGGGGGTAGGGTTACAAGACTACCACATGCTTATCACTATGGCCAGCAGTGGAATCTTTGATCAAAGCTCCAAATTATCTGAATTGACAGTTCTTTTAAAAGTGGCTGCTTTAAAAGTTGTTTTCACAATAGCTTATTTAAGCTTTTGAACACCATTCATTCTGTGAAGCACTAACAACCTCAGCTGGGCCATTCTATTTAACCCTTTTGTATTATTTGCATTTTTTCTTCCTGTAACCTTTCTGATTTTGGAATTTATAAAATATGCATATAGACTGGATTATTCAGAAAAAAATTAGATGTTCTTGTATATCTCCCCTCTCTACATTTCAGCAACACTAGTCAAACTTTTAAAACAGAATATTGTCTGTCTTTCCGCTTTCTCAATTTTTTCTGTCCCTCTTTCTCAGTTTTTTCTAATGCATAACTCTGCTTTTTCCTCTTGAAGTAAGTATTCAAGAACAATAGACTTGCTTAGCTTTATAGTTGGTTAGTTAAGTTCACTTTAGTTTGCTGATGTACCGTTCTGAGAAGGATGTGAAATAGTTATGCTGGACTGCACTTAGAATGGAAATGAAGCACACAAGACTTGTATTCACCGATTTTCATTTTCCCTCAAGTTTTTTGATGTAATATCAACCAGTGAAAAACCATTGGCGGAGCAAGACTGGTATCATGGTGCAATCCCAAGAATAGAATCTCAAGAGCTATTAAAACAGCAAGGAGACTTCTTAGTTCGAGAGAGCCATGGGAAGCCTGGTGAATATGTCCTTTCAGTATTTTCAGATGGACAACGGAGACACTTCATCATACAGTTCGTTGATGTGCGTTTGGTATTGTGCAGCCTTTTAAAAAGATACCTAATTTGTTTGCATGCTATATAACATGTATAGCATAATTTATTGCTAAACCTCCTGAAATTTTAAGTATTTGCCAACCTTTTAAGATGAAGAAAATTTTATCCACTAGGGATGCTTCTGACAGTTATATTGTGACTCAGAGTGTGAGCTGCAGAAGCTTAGAAATCTCACTTTCAAAGTGAGGCAACCCTCATTGCTTCTGAATTCTTAAATAATTGTGTTTGAAAGATAAGAGAGAGTCAGAGAAGTTTAGCCTCCCCACGCCAGCCCCTGAATCTCGCTCATCTTTCCATCCCATCCCATCTTATCTTAAGATTGATCCATCCAAACTTAAGAGAAATAAGAAAGGGGTGCAAGTCTTGGGGGATGTATTGCATGTGAAGAGTGTACCTGTAGGAACTAGTTTAGTTTTGCAAATATTATAGTGGGAAATGTTAGTAGTTTCGACTAATCTAATGATACTTAGGAATACTTAGGGAGTAAAAGAGCAGATGGGATACTACACTTCATAAGTTGGAGCTGTAGAATAAAAGTATCTTTATCAATTACAAATCTTTTGCATTATTGAATAAAGTAATGGATCTTCTTATTGTGTTTGGCTATTCTCAAAGAACATATCAGTCAAAGAATTTGAGGTATAGTTTAAAACCTTAATAGTACTTAGGTCTTCCACAACAGTCAAAGGGACAGTGCTTCTGTTGGCGGAGGTGGGATCATTCTTCCAACGGAAGTCTCCTCACTTACTGTAAGATATCCATTTCCCACTATATCTCTTTATAAATGTATTTATGTAGCTCTGGATCCAACCTGTCTATATATCTAATAGCCAAGGTCTGTTTTCCATGCGGATACTTATTTCCACTAACAGAGGGCTCACTCTACCCCAACAGCTTTTCCGACAAACTCAGGGGACTCCCTGGGTGTGTAGAAAAATCCAAAAAGTGGGGGGGGGACTCCCTCAGGGAGGGCTGAATTTCCCCCAGTACCTTTTGAAATGGCCTCTGCAGGGATCTACTTCAGGCATCAGTGGTGAGAGATTAGAATGGTACTTCAGGCATCAATGGTGAGAGATTAGAATGGTTTTTTTGGGGGGGGGGTAGGCTTCTAACTGGCTCTGTCAGTAGACGTCGGGGAGAGGGGGAAGGGCCCTTTGCGGCCTATTTTGGCCTTTGAGGGAGAGCGCCTTGGGGCCAGGCCTGACAAGGGTCGCCAGTGCCAGGCTGGGGAATTCCTGAAGATTTTGTGGTAGACTCTACGGAAGGCTGGGTTTGGGGAAGGGATATAATGCCACAGGGCTGGGTATAATGCCACAGTGTCTACCCTCCAAAGCAGCCCTTTTCTCCAGGGAGACAGATCTCTGCTGTCTAGAGTTCAGTTGTAATTCTGGGTGGTCTCTAGGTCCCACTTGGAGGTTGGCAACCCTAGGCCTGGCAGCGGTCTATGGTTGCCAGGTCCTCCCCTGGCCACCAGCAGAGGATGAGGGAGGGTAAAGTTGCTTGATCCAGGCTGGGAAACCCCTGGAGATTTGGGGTGGACCCTGGGGAGGACAGGGACCTCAGTGATGTACAATACCATAGAGTTCATCTCTGTAGTGTAAGGATGAGCAGTAATTCCAGGGTATCCCCAGGTCCCACCTGGACGCCAGCATCCCTAGGCAGCACCCTCTGCGTGACTTGATACCACCTGATTTGCATGACTCATCTAGGCCCAGCTGCTTGCTACTGTCCATCAGCAGCCACCCTGTGAAAGCCAGTGTGGTTCAGTTTTTTTCGTATGGTCTGCAAGACCCAGGTTCAGATCCTCATCTTGTAGTGGAAGTTGACTGGGTGATTTTGGATCAGTGACATACTTTTAGCCTAACCAACCTCACAGGGTTGTTGTGCAGATAAAAAGGAGAGAAGAATAATGTAAGCTGTTTTGGTCTCCACTGTGGAGAAAAACTGTAATTTTCCTAGGTAGAGGCGGTGGGGGAGGGGGGTGGAGATGGAAAGCTTAAGACAGATAAAGGCAGATTAAGGTAGGTGGGCTGTTGGGTGGGAAGGAAGTAGGGTTGTCAACTCCAGGTTGGGAAATTCCTGGACATATGAGGGGTGGAGCCTGGGGAGGGTGGGATTTGAGGAGGGGAGGAACTCCAGACTGGTATAATGCCATAGACTCCACCCTCCAAACCAGCCATTTCCTCCATGAGAAATACCATTGCCAGCCTCCAGGTGAGGGCTAGAGATCACCCAGAATTACAGGTGTTGTCCAGGTGACAGAGATCAGTTCCCCTGGATAAAATGGCTGCTTTGGAGGGTTGAGTCTATTGCTTTACAATAATATCAATAACTCTAACTCATAAGTAATTGAGACAAGTTAAGTTATAAGTAATTGAGAAAAGTTAAATTGTTTCAAAGGGGCTGCGGTGGCTCAGAGGTTAAGACGCTGAGCTGCAGACCAAAAGGTCGGTAGTTCAGCAGTTCGAGACCATAGTGCCTTGTGACGGAGTGAGCTCCCATCTCTGGCCCCAGCTTCTGCCAACCTAGCAGTTCAAAAGCAAGAAACTGCAAGTAGGTAAATAGGTACCGCTTCAGTGGGAAGGTAACAGTGTTCCGTGCACCTCGGTGTTTAGTCATGCCGGCCACATGACCACAGAGAAGTCTTCGGACAGCGCTGGCTCTTCGGCTTGGAAACAGAGATGAGCACTGCCCCCTAGAGTTGGATTTGACTGGCTTTCAAGCAAGGGAAACCTTTACCTTTTTTTAATGGTTTCCACCTATTTTTTTGTCATGGAAATAATGCAGTTAAAGAATTGTCACTGTAAATATTGACATGTTAAAAACTGTTTTATTTATAATGCAGCCTTAACTATCTACCATTTTGTGTACCCATTATATAGGAATTTGTCTTAAAAATAGAGCAAAATGGCATTCATCTCATTATATCATTGAGAATAAATTGTTACTGTTTTGATATAGAAACCATTTTTATGCTCACTGACTAAGGAATAAGTCCTGCTGTTTTTTTTTGAATTTACTAGCGCAATTCTAGGTGAGCATGTTTACAATTATGCTGACTTTTTTGTTGTTTTTGTATTCATTTGTAATTAAATTACATGTCACTTAACTCTCAAGGGAATAAAAAAATGATGATGAAAATCAAATGTTTGTACATAATAGTGGCAAAAAATTGCTTAATTTTTCATTTATCCCTTACAGAATCAGTATCGATTTGAAGGAACTGGGTTTCCAACTATTCCTCAGCTTATAGAACACCATTACCAATCAAAACAAGTAATTACAAAGAAATCAGGGGTAGTTCTGCTGAATCCTGTTGTTAAGGTATGTGCATGTCAATGTGAACGAGGCTCTTCTTTTTCTGAGCATGTATAATGCTACTTTTAGCAGCTTTTGTATGTGATTTGTATGTGATTGATAATACATTGCTATTTTTGTTTTCATTGATGCCTTTTGACCACCTGGGGGGTCATTTACACAGAGGGAAAGGTGGGATGAACACATCTATAAAACACATATGCTGCAATTCTTGTTGGAAGTATTTTGTGGAAGGTACAATCCTTCTCTGACTGGTTTGACAGACATGATTTTTTAAAGTAAATTTGTTTTCATTCTTTAAAATGTTCTTTGTGCCTCTTTTTGAAAGAAAAACACCCTTCATACAATGGAAAGAATGATCAACCTACCTAAAGTATTATTTTACTGGAGTGCTGCGATACAATATTTCCCCAGACTACTGGTTTTGTTTTGTGTGTCTGAGAACGTCGGTTCAGTTTTTTCCCCTTATGAATATGAGATTTTTGAAGAAAATTGTTGATTTTCGAGCATGAGCTTAGACAAGCATATAGACACATCATACATTGTTTAATTCCTTAATAGCTTAGATCCAGTCAACTGACACTCTGGCTTTTTTGCTGCCCACTTCCCAATTGCAGCCCTCCTCTAGCCTTTGAAAACATGCTTATACAGGTTGGACGGTTGAATGGCCTGGGGTATAGCAGAGGTGGCTGCACCAGGAAGGGGTTATTAGTGGATAGTGTGCCCTGCCCCTTGTGCTAGCGGACGTGCCCTTCCATTTATACAAGAACATATTTGAAGCCAAGCAAATGTATCAGTGCCACAAACTGATAATTTTGTAAAACAATATTGATAAAACAATATTTTTATATTAAGTAATCCATTTACTCTTTATCAAGTCTGTACAGCGATTTTTTTAAAAAAACTTTTAGGAAGTGAGTCAGTTTCTGATACTGTAATGACTGATCAGTATATGTACTTGAATACTGCTCTTTAAGGAAAAAATATATATTCCATGTCTATCAAACTGCTTGGCATTTGTGGAATCTAAAGAATTGTAGTTAGAGATGTATGAATAGCAAGAGCACTAACAGAATGTAGAAGTTCCAAGAACAGCACTTGTTTTCTGTCTCCTCAGATACTATTTTTTTCTGGAATTTCTTTGTCTTGATGGTCTGGATAGGAATAACTGAGCAGATATATGCAATGCAAGCAGTTATGAGACTTCAAACATATTTAAATCTGGAAGTAGTTTTCTGCCTGTGATTCCTAGGCATGATGCATATGGTATAAAAAGATCATGGTTTCTAGTTCAAACCATGAGCAGTTGGGATCCTTAGTCTTGCACACTTCCTTCTGTACTTCCCCTTCCTCCTCTTCTTTCACACAACAATCTAATGAAAGGCTTTTCCGGGAAACCATAGTTTGGCATTACATCCAATTTTAAAATTATGGATTCAGTTCTTCCCTGCAAATCAGAGTGAGAGTCCTGTTTATTACGGCAAAGTGCTCACCATTGTTTGTGGTTTAAATCTAACTGCAAACGGTGCTTTACTGAGAAAGCAGGTCTTAATTAGATCTCAAGGGGATGGGGAGATGAAGAAGGAATGCTCAAACTGGAGAATCCCCCAATTCACTTGTTCATGGAATGGCAAACTATGGTCTGGGGTTTTGTCTGAAGGATCCCATAGGACGTAGTTTCTCCTGTGGTAACCTCCGTCTGATCACTTGTTCAAAATTCCTGTGATATCTTGACAACGGTCTTCTGCATTATTCCTCTTAAAGCAATAAACCAATCTGATATTTTAATCTTCCTTTTATGTAGAATTATGTCCCTGTAATGACTATTTAATAAATAGACGTTTTAGCATAATTTATTATAAACAAACAAAATTAACTTTATTAAGCATATTAGTTAAGTGTTTACAGTCTCTAACTTTGTCAAAATAATTATACTTATGCCAAAAAGAGCTGTATGATATCATATTCTATATAGACCAAATGTTCATGCTTGGAATTTTAATAGTGGGAAAGTAATAGTTTATATCAGAAGAGCTAAGGACATCAAAAAGAAATATGCTTGTGATTTTTTAAAACTAGAAAACCATCTCATATTGATTTATAGTCCTTGGAGAGGATGACACTTAGTTCATCAACGTAACTTCTTGTCTTGCATCAACGTAAATTCTTGTCTTGGAGTACCCATGAGCTCAAACAATGAAAAGTCTCTTGAACCCACATTTGAAACATTCTAACTTTTTAACTATTTTGACCTTGCAGTATTGATGGCACTGAATTTTGCCAGGGTATGTTTTGTAGACTAAAAACAGCACATCCTGATGTGTTTCTAAATATAACCATGGAGTGTTGCCCTATTATGTGCACAAAACCAGCCACCTGGAAGAAGACCTAGAGAGCAGCAGGAGTGAGGGGATTAAAAGGTGCCATTTTAATTTACATAAAAATGCAATAGAGAAATAGAATTATGAAATACTTGCTTCTCCCCCGTCATTGGTAGTCCCAGCCATTCTGCATGTTCTATGGGTAACAGAAGAAAATACTTTGCTCTAAGGTTAAATAGATGCAAACATCCATGTTTTAGACTTTGGTGATAGCAGCTTGCCTGCAGATTGGGAAAGGGGGATTTAATGAATTTAATTTAAATGAATCAACAAAATTGCACTTCAGCCACTCTCACCATTGTTTCTAATGTGAACAGATGCAGCAGTTAAGGTTTCCCCCTCCGCTAGTACATGTATGCATCTGTATGCACACACATACCCTAGTGGGATGAGATGCAGATCATTGTGATGAGGACGGGCCAACAATTCTGTCTTCGAGGAAGAACTGCTGATTCAGGATCTGATACCTGTAATGTCTGCAATTTAATGTACAATTCTAAGCAGCTATACCACCTCTGCCTTCATAAATCATGCTACGGCTTCTTTCTTTCACCTAGTTAGTTGTGCTATTGGGAAAAGAGTCTTATACGCAGGAAAATACGGTAGTTGTGCTATTGGGAAAAAACAGGGAACCTCTCTTATCTGCATGTAACCAACAAAAAACTAGAGAGTACTGTGTGTGTTAAAAATGTACCCAATCCTGGTATTACAAGCATTTTTCTCTGGCCAGACATCAGTTAAAAGAAGTCAGCTGGGTTGGGGGGAAAATAGGCTCACCCACATGCAGTTTGTTTAAAAGAAAAGGCACCCCCACCCCAATGCACTACTTAAGGATTTCAGGAATGGAGGGAAAAGTTCATTCACACACCATTTCATACTTTTGTGTGTCTGGTCCACAACTGAGAATTTTAACTTCCTGTAGAATGCAGAGACGTTTTCGTATCTTCCTGCAATTTGGGAAAGACAATCCCCTGGCTGAAGGGTTAATCCCAACAAATTTCATCCCAGTTGCTTGGAAGGTCAGAGTTGGACCTGAAAAATGTTTCTATGGAAACTAAGGCTAGATTATTTTTTAATATGATTATTTTTATGTCTATTGAAAAATCAAGCAATATAACCAAAGGGCACAGCAATCACATATGTCAGTATTGAAAAATCAAAACAGAACTGTTTCACCAGACTTATGGTTGAGGACAGCAACGTTCTTCCACCTTACTTGGCCCTATGGAGGGAGAGAGATTTATAGTTAATGGCATTGCTGATTAGACTGTATTTTCATGGTTTTATTTTGTAAACTGATTAATTTAATGGATATTTAATTAATTTATTGTCGGTTTTAATTATGATATACACTGCCCTAAGACCTTTAGGGGAGAGCAGTTTATAAATCAAATTAATGATAATGATGATAAAGATGATAATAATCACTTTAAAATGACAGGTAATGCTACTCTAAACACCTTAAATCTTATTTCTGTTCTTTGTATTTTAAAATTTTATATTACTCTTTGAAATATTTGTAGGCCTACAACATATAAAATTCAGTATCGGTAGCCCTGCTTTGGAATTAACTTCCAAACTGTGAGTCCCCAAATCTGGATTTAAGTATAGTTCTTCTTTTTTAAAAAAGGGCACTGATCTACCTTGTGGTATTGTAATGTAGAATAATGCTATGGAAACAATAGAGCCATGAAGGTAAAGTGTTTGTTTTTGATTTTCTGCTTGAAACTGTCCTCTTTTTAACCTGTCAAATATAGTATTCTGTAATAGCTTTCTTTGTTAGCCTGCTGATAAGGTACCATTGATTATACAATAGAGCTGAACAATTGGGTACTTTGATTTAGAATCTTAAATTGAAATATATTAAGCAAAATTAATATGTTTTCGTTTCAGGGAGAATTTTTAGGTTCATAGTTATCAACTCTTTCCTATGAAATAAAAGAGCTGTATTAACAAAGGCACATACGCAATTATGCTTTTTAAAGGGATCATGAGTAGTCATTAGGCTCTAATGTCCCCCCCATACATATCAGTTGAGAGATCTTAACTTACTGTACTATTAATAAATTAGGCCTGGATTGCAATTTGCAGAGACTTTGTCTCCAAGGCTTTAGATAAATGATAGTTCAGTTGGCACTAGACATTTGCTGATTTTATTTTTCATGTACACTCCATACTACAGATATTAATCAGGTGACCTGTACTAATTAAACACAGGGTTAGGGTGCCTTTGGTTATATCAGCAGTCAAGTTGTTTGTTTCACAAAAGTAATGTTCGTAGATGCAATTCACCAGAGAGCCTCCTCATGTTTTAAGGTCTGTGGAATCTGTGCTCAGTTAATAGATAAAGATTTTGCCCATACATTTTACACTTAACCCTTAAACACTTTAGTTTACACAGACAGTAGGTTTTACAATTGATAATGGAAAACCCTTTTTGAAGTCATCCCCCTGCCAAGATCAGCTAATCTTATATTCTATGCATTAATGTGGTGAATACTTCCTATCTCTTTATCTTTGTAACCAGAAATTATTTCACTGAGTATTGTCACTATGAGGAACAGTTTAAAATAACTTTAATATGACTAGAACTAAGCAGTCTTGTAGGGCAGTCTCTAAGCTAGA